ACAGCGGACAAATGCCTGAGAGTGAAATATATCGCGTACTGTACCCAAAAGCCATACCTGGCTGGTTTTTGAACTTGAATGGTCATTCTGTCCCCTTGGAAATAGAAATCCTACTCAGCTTTTGCCCCGGTTTTTCACCTATTCATACTCCTGATCTGCAAGACTACCTGACGATTCGCCTGGCCATTGCCGACGATCACCACGTGGATAGACGAACAAGTCTGGGTGAAGTGACAATGGGTGAGTTGCCTTCTGCTTGGCTATAGCTGGCATATGGTAGCTCAGCCAGTCATCCGGACTACCATCTGGCTAAAGCTGATGAAGGAATAGATGACGAGTCACCAACACTGTTAGGAGACATGTAGAATATACGAGCGTTTGACAATTGCTGACGAGCGTGTTCAGGCATAGCACCAGGGAAGGGATCTTTGCCTGGATATAGCTGGCAAGGGTATTCATCCAAACCTTTAACAACGTGTTCATAGACATGTGTGATTTCGTACCATTGCAGGTTGTACATTGCTGATTACAACGATTTCAACGTTTCTAACGCTTTCAACGCTGACGACGATTTCAACGATTCCAACACCTTCAATGCTTACGCTCTTAATTTTATTTCTACCTATAACTTTAAGGCTTGTCAAAATGTTATCATAAAACAGAAAACACAGTGTCTTATTCTTCATTATATTAAATTCTTATAACGTACCCTGGTATACTCGCTGAGTTACACCCCAGCTATAGATAGGGCCGGAAAAGTTCGTTACAGTATGAACACATTGAAAGAGATTTGTAAGGAAAGTAGTGAGGACAATCCAGCTATTCAGGAACTTAAACAAAAGATATTGCAGGACATTGCAGGTAACATTGAAGTTTGTTTCTAATTTAAGTATATATCACAAGACTGCTTGCTTCTTAGATCCCCCAGCAAATACGTTTTTGAATGAAAATGAGAATAAATTTCTTATACCAATAGCAAAAATTTCAGATTCCGATGAGTCATAACAAGATCAGTCAGTAAGCCAAACAAGAGATTTTAATTTATTTTTTTCAAATATTATTAAGAAACTAGAACTTTCACAAAAAAAAGTATAGCGAATGAAGTAGGACGTTATAGTTCAATGAATATTGATATCAACAGTAGCGCTAAAATGGTGGGATAACCACAAAAATGATTTGCCTAATTTGTGGAAATATGCAACACAAATTTTATAGATTCCAGCAAGCAGTACTTCCTCTAAGCGAGTATTTTCAATGGCAAGGAATATAATTACTGAAAAAGAAATCAATTGGTCCGAAAAATTTAAATAATATATTTGTTATTTTTTGGTATAATATTTTAATGATTTAACAAATTACCTTTAACAATTAAGTATACCCATAAGTAATATAATTAGTGTTTAAATAAAAATTTAATTTTTATATTATACTATTGTTTAACATGTATATAACTATATAATTATTTTAAGTTTCTTTTTGTGATACAAACTGAAAAAATAATAACACTGGCTTTTATTTAGATACATTAGATTAATTCAAGGCCTGCACTGACATTTAATATTTAACATGAAAAATGCCACTAAAAAAAAAGTTTAAAAAATTTTGTTTTTTTCATGCCCCCAAAAACTTAAATCAATTCTACAGGTTAGAAAAATTTAATTCCCGTTTTTTTCAAGTTTTCTATTGAAAGATATAAAATAGAAACTCATATAATAAAAAAATAAACTTTATAAATTGATTTTCCTATAAAATTTTATGATTCCTAGGACTATATGCACATTGTTTGCCTGGGAGTGATAATAACACTTTGAAGTGCATGGATAATAGACTTGACTTTCCTTCAAGGAAAGTGAAAGCATCTGTTCAAAAACCACTGAAGATAAAACTGTAATGACCGTAAAGGAATTTGTTAGGAATTTGTCGTTCTTTGGATGACCTGGACAGATGGAAAGCTACAGCATTTAGACAATTCTTATTATATACGAAACCATTTCTATTGACAACGGTTTTGTCCCAATAACATTATGAGGACTTTCTGCTTTTATCATTGGCAATCAGAATTTTATTAAAAAATAATGATGCTACAGCAAACAATGCTTGCGCTCAAACAGTGTTTATTAGCACAGTTTGGAAAAGACATACCCAAATTATATGACAAAATATTTATAATCCAATTTTTTATTATTTACATCTTCTTGAAGGTGCCTTCTAGTACGATTCCTTAGAGGAAATAAACGCTTTTAATTATGAAAACAATTTGCAAATAATTAAAAAATCTATTAAGAAGTGCAACAAAGTAGCAGCACAAATTTATAACAGACTAGTCGAAAAAAATTCAAGAAGTCTCATCATAACAAATTGAAGTTTCGGATACATCGAAACAGTAATAAAAACGTTGGAGTAGAAGAAAATAAATAAAATTAAACAACATCTACATTATGTGTTTTACAAAACAATGAAATAAAAATTCAACCATACGAATCAACAGATTACACTAGCATAGTAAAATTTCTTAAAGATAAAAGCGTAAAGTACTAAACGTATAAGCCAAAAGTAGAAAAGGGATTTAAGATCATCCTACGCGGAATGCACCACTCCGCTAACAAAAATGAAATTATATTAGAGCTAGCTGAACTAGGACATGTAGTATGCAATATACCAAACGTATTACATCCGCGCACAAAATCTCCGCTAAACTTATTTACAATCGAAATTAAACAAGATGTAAATAACAAAGAAATTTACAATATCATATACCTATTACATTGCAAAATAAATTTCGAACCTCCCCACCCAAAGAGAACAACACCACAATGTACCAATTGTCAAAAGTATGGACACCCAAAATATTTATATACAAGAAGTACAATCTGTTTTAAATGCTCTGAGGGACATAAAACAAGTGACTGCCCCAAGAAAGGTAAGAACAATGACGTTAAATTTGCACTCTGTAGAGAGAATCACACTACAAATTACAAAGGTTGTATAGTATATAAAGCTCTCCAAATCAAACGATTCCCAGCTCTACGCGCAAAACAACAAAAAAACATCACTCAAAATAAAGAAATGTCTATACCAGCTCAAGCTGCTACGAATCTAATGACTACCGCTCGACAAACCAAACCGAAATATTAACATCGCAGCCAACTCAAGCCATTGCAATAAGCAATGAATCAAACAACTTCGAATTTTCCAAACGCCAACAAATAATGAAACAGCTTATGACGCAAGATGCCAACACTATACATATGGAATGCAAATGGTCTCAGCAAACAACTACTAGAACTGAGAACATACTTAAATCTCAATGCAATTGATTTAGAATTGGTATCAGAGACACATATCACAGACAAAAACTTCATCAAAATTCCTAACTATTTGATATATCATAGAAATCATTCTGACAGCAAGGCCCATGAAGAACAAATAAAAGTTACAAGCGTCCACATTCAAGATTCAAAAGGCCAGTTAACATTATAAGCTACATACTGTCCACCGAAACACAATGACTCGAAAGATGTATACTTGAACTACCGGTACCAATGGGTCAATCGGTACTTTGTTGACTTCAATGCAAAAAATACTTTGTAGGGCTCAAAATTACAAACAGTAAAAGAAAAAACTTATATATTGCAATCTTTGAGAAAAAAGCAGACAACTTAAGCACAGGCAAAACCTACGTACTGGCCTACAGATAAGAACAAAAACCCGACGCGATTTTTATGACCAAATATATAAATAAACAATTCCTTACAGTAAGTCCATTTCCTGACTTATAGTCTGATCAAGCACAAAATTAATGTATAATTGCAAAACATGTTGAGACATATTTAGAGATTCTTCTCACTTCAGATTCTTCATCTTAAGTATTTTCTAAAAGTATGGAAGGTATCAGATGTAATAATTATACCCAAACTAATCAAAGACATAACTCTTTCAAAGTCATACAGACAAATTAGCCTATTACCAATTATGTCAAAATTGTTTGAAAAAATACTTTCATCAAGACTAGAATCAATTCTCCACAAAGAAAAATTTATTCCTGCTCATCAATTCGGATTTCGGAATAAATATTCTATTATACAACAAGTTCATAGACTTGTAAATTAAATAAAAAGCGAATTGACTCAAAACAATTTTCCTCGACGGTATATGTAGATGTTGCAAAGACTTTTGTCAGTGTTTTGCATGCGTGTGTCCTTACCAAATTATCCCAACTACTGAGAAGTATAAAAACTCAATCTCCGAACTTAAACAAAGGAAAACAGGTGTGCCCCGAAGTAGCGTACTAGGTCCATTACTCATTACTAGTTGTTTACGGCTGATATCCCAATTCGTTCTGATACTCAAATTCTGATAGCAATTTTTGCAGACGATACAGCACTAATTGCAGCTAATAAAAATTTTAGCAAATCCACAGACAACTTGCAGAAATACGTTAATGCAACACTGAAATGCTTCGACAAATGGAGAATTCAAGAAAATATAAGTAAACAGTACATGTTATCTACACGAATAAAAAAAATTACCTATCATTAACAATGATGAAGTGTTCATACAAGCAAAGGCAGATTACCTTGGTATTACTATAGATTGCAGATTAACTTGGAAAAACCATATCAAAGCTAAAAGTAATGAAATTAAGCGTCGCTTTCTAGCTACCCTGCTCAAACTGAAAAATAATCCCTAGTATACAAAACGGCAATAGCTCCAATATGGAAATATTTAAATTATATGTCAACACGCCCGACGCATGAAGATTAATTAAATGCAGTTTAAGTATTATCAATAAAGATTAAGTTTTAAATAAAGAACATTAATTAAAATATAACAGAAAATCCTTTCTGTAAGAATGAAACGAGTAACTTCATAAATAAACTCTGAGTCATTAACATCCATAACTTGGATTCAAAATTTACTAAGCTCAGATAATTTAAGGCATTATGTAGTTAATAATTGTATTAAAATAAAATGTTTTGCTTGTGTGAAAAACTATTAATTTAGCTTGGAAAACTTAATAATAAATAATTATATATATACTTTTAAGAAATATAAGATTTCTAGTAAAATAATTTTTGTCTGACCTTGTATGCGCAGCTACAACTCGAAGTTGTCATCGTAATTGTCTTTGAAAAGTAGCAAATTTTCTAAAGCATCGACATACTCTTCCTCTTCCAACCCCGACATTTTAAAACGATGCAATTTTGCAATTTTAATTCGTTTGGCTTCACGATGCAATGTGTCCACTGTATTCCCTAACTCACTGGAACACTGTACCGTTGCTAGTGTTGGCACAGATATTATCTTTTCCCTTGGTACACTTTCCGTTGCTGTTGAAATAAAACCCATGTTGTTCAGAGACTCATTAAATATTTCGCATGGAAAAGGAACGCGTGTAGGCATTGGAGCTGATAGTGAACTAACATGAGCCAGGCTAGCATGATGACTACATTGCAAATAAAGTTGGAACATCTCAGACACACTATCACATTTATATGCAGCCATACGCATTTGTTTTTTTGCCATTGCAAGTGGACGTTTCAGACGATTATTCGGAATACCACGAACACACATGGATTGTATTATGTAATCTGTACCAATTGTGCAATTCGGTGTTAGTTGCGTAAACAGTGGGCCCTCAAATCTATCTAGGCAATCAATCAAGTCTTCGTCTTGTTGCATTTGAAACGGCATTGCAAATCCTGCTGCTACCAATTTCCGACCATAGTTTGTTAAGTCGCCACAGAAACCAGCAAGTGAATTAGAAGCTGGTGCATCCTTCAAACGATAACGTAATGATATTGTATCTAGGCAAGCAGCTAATATAGCAGATGTTTGATAGTAGTTCTCGGAACGATAGTTTACTAATGATATTTCTCGAGATTTGCCTAATTGACGCCAAACGCGATCTTGGGTACTGATTGGCATAAACATAGATGCTTGTTCTGTAAGTGCATTAAAAGCTAAGGCACTATTCACAACCCGTATGGAGTCAGACATAGGTTCATCTAAATTGTTAATTATTTTCAATAATAACTTTTAAATTATTTTAAATTATCATAACTCACCTGCGTTTTCGAAAAGTATATTTTTAGGTGAATAAACAGGAACAACAAAGTTAGCTTTAGTGTATTCGTCATTTATATATTCCAAACATTTAGAGGCCAAGCCACTAAATCCATTATAACAATCAAAAACTGTTTGGAATCCTTGCAAATAATCGCACTCCTCCACATATTGCCGTATTTTGTCACAAAAGTCATCACTAAACTGTTCAGTCTTCCACAATTCAACGCCACAAGAATATGTATCAAAAGTTTGCTTGTCTACTGAATGTTTAAAATTGTTCACAACATTTACGGTCCGTGGATGGTAGCGCGCATACAAAAAATCAGCCCATGACTCCACATTCTCAACTAAATTGTAATTAGTTTTTTCTATGGATGCCTCTGGATTGTCCAAGTCTTTTTGAAATGAATTTTTTTCAATTTCTGACTTTTCCCATAATTCCACATTGTCTGGCCAATTTATATTATCTTTCAATTTCTTGACAGATACATCCTCGTCGTCTGTATTTTCGTTTTTTGTTGGACGCTTAAAGTTGCCATAAAGTTCTCCTTCACGCGGCAAATGCTTAAGAGCGCCATCCAAATCCACTAAGAGCAAACGAGGAGTGTAAGTAGTTTGACGCTAAAATAAAAAATTTTATATAATTAAATACAAATGACTTTAAAAATGAGTGTTGAGAGATTAATGATGCATTTTATATATTATTAGTTATGGTATTATTTAATTAATTTTTTTATAGTTAATATGCAACCCAATCTTGACTTCCGTCAGCCTTACTCATTACATGCAGTACTTTAGAATAACAATAAACGCCAAGTTCAAAAAATCCCAAAACAAATGCCACAATTCTTTGTAAACGTTCAGCTATTTTTGGGAAAAGAAGCAACACCACAAACTATTCAAAATTCGCTTAAAATTTATGGCTATAGAGGAAGAATGATTTTCAGTTCTATCAGGATAAAGATTCAAAGCATACTGCGTTAAAGACTAAGCTTTGGTTATAGTCAAACTGCTCAAAAGTGATGAAAACATCTATGCAAAGTCCAAACTTACACCCCCTATAACTTTTTGGGGTCATTTGGCGTCCATATTAAAAAAACACAGCTTTTCAAATAAGCAACAGATGCAACAGATTCTAATGGACGAACGGGCTAATATAGATCCAGCTATGACAGCAATATTAGTCCAATCAATACCAAAGCGTTTAAAAGAAGTCATAAACATTTTTTTTAAACATTTTAGTTAACGACGAATACCTTTTTTTACCGCTGTGGTTCATGAAAATATTAAACTACCACTGATATAAAATTATTATATACAAATATATACTATCCGTTATCCGAAAATATTTTATAGAAATAACATAGGTATTCTTTTACATTATTCTATTTATAATTTGATTTAAAAAAATTAACAAATTCTGCTTTTGCACACAATTCGCATAAATGGCGTCGGACGCATCGGCGCCAGGAACAAAGAGAAATAAGAAAAACAACTGTTTATTTCGCCAGAACTTTCTAGACATTTTATATAGAATATAATTCGAAAAGAATATGTTTGCACTTCTATTCGAGTAAATAATAAATTAAATAACTACACTTACATTTAAGTTAACTCCTTCTCTGTAAAAGACATCATTATCAATATCAGAAGTGGGACCATTATCGTCATAATTAAAACCAGATTCCTGAAATGAATAAGTGATTGAATATATAGAAATTTTGAATTAGAATACCTACTTGTATATTCCACCAATGGGAACCAATAAAATTCGTGAAATTACCGAATTGCAACGTAAGAACTGCATTAGTTTTAAACATCATACAAAACAAAACTTGCCCAAGTTATGAAAATAAATTTTAACATATGCCGCCATTTGTCAGATTTGACAAATGAACTTTTCCAAATTTGGAAGTGCTGCCAAGTACATTAAAATAACTAAAAGATTACTTTACAAACATTGGATTTATAGTTTGCTTTGAATCAACAATTTTACTATTAATAAGAAGTTAAAATATTTTTATAATAATTGTATGGAGCTTAACTATTTATGAAAATTTAATACAAACATTAAAATATATATATATATAATTACAACACACAAAGTCTATCTTTATATTAAAAAACTATTAAATTTAATTTTAAAAAATGTTATACTTGAATAATAATTTTTAGATTGAATTTTCAAAAATATTCAATATATTTAACTTAATTATATTTAACTATCATTATTATTATGTGGAGTAGAAATATTCCACATAAAAATATAAATGATGCCCTCCGAATAAATAGAAATTAGTAATTTAAAAACTATGTAAGACTAACGGAACTTAAATCCAAAATTTTTCGACAAGCTCTTGATACAGAATCCACGAAAAATATATAAATTAATATGTGTACATGTATATAGCCGTCTTTGTACTTATTGTGTACTATGACTTATTTAAATACAATATACTAAAAACCGATTTCGCAGTCATAACTTGCTCCAATACCAAATCGATCCTAAATTACTAAATTTTCTATTGAAAAATATCTATCGTAGCTTAAATATGAAAAAAAACGTAGCAAAACTCAACCCGCTTTTCAAAACAAAATTTCAAAAAGAATAAACAGAAGATGATGGCAAAATATTAAGTGCTGCCAATTCAAACAAAACTACTCCAAAGAAAATAATACTTTATATAAATTTCTTAGAAATTCAAAATTTACCAATTTACAAATCTTATTGGGAAACTGCAAATTCAGATAGAAATCATAATTAAGCACTTTTAACAAAAATTATTTAAATTTGCTAAAATTTCTGTATTTCACACACTTTGTAATAAAATAACAGAACTATTATATATAATTAAAATTCAAATATTATTCACGCAGCTATTTAAAAGCATTACATTATTAAAAATCATTTCATAATAATATATTTATATTTGTTTTTACTTTCATTCGGTAGATTTTTTGCTGTTTTCTTTTTCCATCTTATTCATAATTTTATTTGGCGCCATTTGTAGTTAAAGAAGATTACAAATAAAACTTATGTGAGTTATCTAACGGGACTTTTACCAATAATTTCAGAAGCCTCTTATATATAATTTATTTGAAATATATATTTATATATATACAATAAGTAAAAGTAATATACTCACAAATAAATTGTATGTTTTTTCTTTCATTCGGTAGATTCTTTGCAATTTTCTTTTTCAATCTTATTCATAATGTAAAATAGCACTCCGTGAAACCTGCGTTGCATGCTTGACACCGTACTTTAACGTAATGATCGTTCTGTCTCTTGCAATTGTACGCGGCAAATGCTAATGGTCGAGTTTGACACATGAATATTAGGACATTTTATAATGCTGCCAAGTTCATCAAATGAATGTAATGAATTGTCATATATCGTACAAATTATATATTAGATCTGTTACACGAGCTACTCGTAGTAAAATACAAATAAAATTTAAATGAAAATTTGCTGGTAGAACGTACTTGTGTATACACAGTGTCACTTAAAGTTACTACGAGTAGTCCGTGGAACAGACCTATTAATCATACAAATGTTTTGTTGTGTTAAAAATTTCAAATAAATGAATAATCTTTAAAACTAGTTTTAGGCATAAAAATCTAGTTATGGTAAAAATGGTTCAAAAATATTTGAAATGAATCTTCTAATACATTTAAGTACACACACTATTATAACAGTCTTGTAAATTTAATTCTCTCAGACCGTGTGCGAGTAGAATAAATTGATACTAAATTGAAGGAAATAGTAAATTATATCGGTATAGCAGCGAATGTTAGCGTTTTCCAGAATTTCGGATAGGGTAAATTAGATAAAAATTAGGTAAATTAGGTGTTACCATTGTGAAAATTTTATAAAATTTTTAATAAATAAATTTGAAAACTTTTAACCAAAAATAATAAATAAGTGCAATAAATAAATAAATAAATATTTTACATAAGTGCAGTGCAAAAAGTCCCTAGGAAATTTTAATTTACTATACCTCAATTTACTTAAACTCGCACACGGCCTAAATATTTCTTGATCTGTTTAAAATTCTTTATTTATAATTTAATTATGGTTTTACACTTTTATGATCATCGTAATGCAACGGTTAGGACGGAGCACACAGCTTGGGTTTAAATAAGTCTAGTTTAAAAACACGCTTGAAAACATTTTTAAAAGTGTTTGGTTTTTTTGTGTAAAGATTAGAGCTTCAAGCGTTTTTTAAATTCAGAAACATGTCTACCACAAAATAGATCTATGAATGGTTTAATGTTATTAATGTTTTACCTAACATGATCTACCTAACATCATGTTTGAACTGCAGCTTAATCAAATTATATTAATTAAATTAAGATTTGATCGTTTCTCTTGTCATGAGCTGATATATGTAAAACAGTTTTTATGTGTCAGAAAGTTCTGTAAAAGTTCTGAGAGAGGTTTTCTCTGTTTAGATTTTAATTGCATACAGATGATATTTTGTTTTAGACTGTTAGAGTAAATTAACTAATTCACCTTAATAAACGTAGAAAATAAAAACAGTTTCATGTATGTTTGTGAAATTGGTTATGTAGTATATTCGATCATGGCAACCCTGTATAAAGAAATAGGTAAAAAAGGTAAAATACGGATTGCGTTGTTGTTCGACGTTGTGATCAAAGGAGTAAGCGTGCCATGCCGTGTAAACTATTATTATTATTATTAAATTGTAAAATCTATATAAATTTAAATCAATGAAGTATATAACAGGTTACAACATGAATAAAGCAATAGTTGCTTAGATAAATCAAATTCAATAAATAGGAAAAAATTAATTATTATTAAACCAACAAATAACATTACATTCCTCTAAATTTCATTAAATCAAAATTCCATTTTTTTAATATCTACTGCATACTTAATTTATGAAAACAAATAAAAGCAATTGACTTTTTTAATTAGAAATTAAATCATATATTAGGGAAAATTATTAAGGACGTGTGTAGGGATTTTTGCACTGTATACATTTAGCCATTTATCAGCACGTAACGGCACATCACTACATTATCGGCACAACTTAGAATTTCCCTCATTTAGGACGGATGGGAGATTTTTTGGTATTTTTTGCACTGTATACATTTAGCCATTTATCAGCACGTATCGGCACATCACTACATTATCGGCACAACTTAGAATTTCTCTCATTTAGGACGCAACTTGTCCTAACTTGCACACACGGTTGCCACTTATGGTACTTTAGTACCAAAATTGGTACTTTTTTCCGTTTGGTACTCTGGTACTCATGTTCAAAAAATGGTACATTTTCGGCGACCCAACTTTATTGTGGATATTGTATTGTTTTATACTTTTTGTACATTTTATATAAATTGTATTTTCTTATAAAAAGACAGTAGAAAAATTTTTTACAGAAATGGTACCTTTTTAAACCAATTTTGGTACAGAAAAAAGTTTTCAAGTGGCAACCGTGCTTGCACACGTCCTTAGGGCCATGTTATGCAGAGTGTCTCGGGCACCGCATGAGTACAATTGTTGTTGTTTTCAATGCAAATTTTAAATTTGAGAATGAGAGAAAAAACAATATGGCCGTTCAAACTCCGGCATGAGAGCCGGCGTATTTGTGCCCCGGCAATAAGGCAAAACAGTGTTGTTTAGTAATAAATTTCAAAATTTGCGCCTTTTAGGAGCAAATTACTACAATTCTAATACGTTTTGGAGAAAAAATGGCAGCAAGCAACACAGCTTTTTTTTTATAAATCTCTAATAATATAATTACTACACTTTCCGATTTCAAAGAAAGGCGTAAATACTGTTAAGTACTGTTAACAATTATTATAAGATAATATAATAATAAATTAACATTATTACAGCCTCTATGAGTTTTTTCATGCGAGTTATTTTTGGTGGCAAATTGAAAGTGAGCATATCTAAATTTCCTTTTAAATTTAGGCACAACCAGGAAGTAGTAAAAATACAAAATTGGCAATACTGATGTGACACTCTGCATAACATGCATTTTCGGCATAGCCCGAAAGAGCGTAATTTGCCGTGCCCGAGACACTCTGCATAACATGGCCCTAAATAAAATTCCCTACTAGCAGGTTTTGTTATTTTGCCTACCCCATCCTTACTCACTACAGTGTTTACTTAAACAAAAGCGCTTTCTGAGTAATTTCGATGTTTGTTGTAGTCATAGCAAAACATTTTTTATATATCAAACATTTTAATATTTGACAATTTTGATATGATAAATGGACAAGGGAGATTTTTTTGCGATATTACACAAAATTTACTTACAATTGTACAAAATTTGCTCTGAGTTTCACTTCTGTATATTATAGGCTCTCCACATCACTAGTTTAGTGCTGCCAAGTTGCACAACTTGCTGTCAATTCCATATAAGATTTTGAATTCAAATATTGTCAAGTGTGAATCGTTTTTATGTTTTTGTATTCGTTAATGTATAAATTTCTAATAAAAATATTGCTATACTAATAGAAATGTTCACGTCATATTTGAGTGTGTGAAGTGTATTATCTAAAGGTGCTGTTTTACTCGGTTAAAACGTTTTCTGTAATTTTATATTTAATAATTTTTATTTTTCAATTGCCAGGAAATGGAAGACCTTCAAGAAACTTTTGCTTTCTACTTTATCGCATCTGCAAAGGACTAAACCTGACTGCACAGGATTGATACTGCTACTATGCCACTTGGTGTGTTTTTTAAATACGATGCCATCTTATTTACAATTTTCCATCTTATTGCTATGAACTTTAATTTAATATAGACTATTTTCTGTGGTATATTTTTTGACCCCCAAATAATGAATTACAAATTTTACAGAAAAAGCATTTTTAACCATGTTCACTCAAAATAAATAAGGGCAGAATTTTATTAAGTACACACATTGTACCACATAATCGTAAATTTCATTTAATTCTTATTTATAATCGCAAAAATAAAGTTTTAGATTAATATTAGTATTAGTAAAAAATAATTGCTTTAACGATTGTTAAAATATTATAGTGTGTAGTCATAGATTTATCTCTTAGGATATGCAATAAATATGTACCTAAATATTTGTACCAAATATTTTAATTAGTTATATATATAAGTTAATGTTGCTAACACTTTATGTTATAAATAGTTAATATTCATTTAACTAAGGTTACGTTCGTTCATATGCAGGTGCTATTATAATCATAGCCCTTACCTATTGCGGTGCAACCTGCATTACCGACGATCATATTTTATGTGGAAATCTAAGTGAACAACAGTTCCTGTTAACACTGCACTTTTTTACTACTAATTTAGACTATAAGAATTGATGTAAGATTTGGATCAAGTCAGTTATAAATCAAGCTAAAAATAAACGGTTCAGAGTAGTCAGAAAAACAGAATAAAGTGAATAACTCTTTAATTTATATATTTATTCATGGCATCTCTCCTCCGTTTTGTAGTTGGTAAATTATTGAAATAAGTTTATATGTTATATTTATACATTATATATAAAGTTTGAGATATTGTCAAATAAATTTTGATACAATTAAAAGAGAACAAAAAAGGTTTAAAATATTTTAAACGTTATACAATTTCATCCAATTCGAAGGCGTAATTAATGTAATTAACTGGACGTTGGTTTACAATGAAAGTACGAAAAGTTGTGATGAAAAATTAATCTGAACCTTTTTGAGATAGTCAAATAAGTAAAAAATTAACTAATTTAATTTTATTAACAATGGCCGTAAATGTGAGTTTGTCTTTTATTTACTTATTATAAATCGTAAATTTTAATATAAATATTTCGAAAATAAAAATAAATGTTAACAATTCTTTGGGGATATGTAATCAATAGGAAGCACCAATTTAGTAAAATAATTGTGTAAATATTTTAAAAACAGAAACTTATTAAATAATGTCAATATGTGCTTGTACTCAAAAGTTTATTAATAAACAGAACATTAATTGTAACAGTAATATTTTTAACACTTTATAACTAGATATTATATAAGCTAAAAGCTATATATAAGCTAAAATCAAGTTAATTAATATAGTATAAGAACATAATATAGTAAAATATCAACAATATAGTATATATATTATATATAGTATAATATAGTAAAATATCAACAATATAGTATATAGTAAAATATCAACAATATAGTATATATAATATAGTATATCATATAACATAATATAATAATATAGTATCAGCGTAAATTTCGAAAATAAATGGTATTTGAGATACAAAAATGTTACAAACATTACATGAAAGTAATGTTAATAACAAAAGAATAATATTGAATATTGGGCTAAATAATTAAAATTATAGCACTTTGTACATTTACACTCAATCTTACTTATCTAAATAAGTTTATAAAAATTTTAAATACATAACTACTAAGTTACCAACTAGTTTAATAGTAGAAATGCACAAAATGAATTTAAGAATTCATTATTGCATTCAATATAAAATTTATAATCAATATTTATAAATGTATATACATATATAATGTTCATTAAACATAAATCCAATAAGCATTATATTGCTTCTTTGGTGGCCTTGGCGGCATTTTTATTTACAACCAACGATATGTAGCAATTCCAGCCTATCGCTACGAGTTGTACAAACACAACTTGTAGATGCATCGGCACAAAAGCAAAATTAATCATTTGTGCAGCAGGCCATATCGTATAATTATTTTTCATTATTTGAAAATAATCTGCTTTCACGCGACTTTTAAAGTCTTCCACGCCTGTACCATTCATTGTGCCAAGAATGCCCATTATGGCAACAGGGAAGACCGGCGCGCAGCAGCTCTGATCTATTAACATCTTTTTTAGGGCTCGTTTGGTTTGGTGTTGATTTTGTGATACCATAGAATCGACAGCTCGATACCAATATTTTAGAACTGGCCCAATAAAAAAGAAGCCAATGCTAGCAAATTTCATAGTTCTAACGACATCGACTTCCGTCAACGACTTCTTTTCAATAAATTTCTGTGCAATAACATCCCCAACACCCATCAGTACGAAACACCGAGTGCCTTCCAAGGCATATGGTTTTAATTGTGTATTTATACGATTAAATATGCTTATTGCTTTCAACATTTTTAGTACAAAATTAAAAAAAATATTCTAAAAAATTAATAAATAAAATAATTATGAGATTGACAACAATTGACATGAGCATAGCGACAACCGCGAAGAAATGCGTTCGTACGGGAAGTCAGAAAAACGTATTTGAATAACCTATACGTCATATACGTAATAATCAATCCATTTACTATATAAATCAAAACGAAATATATATATATATATATATATATATATATTATATTACATTATAATTACATCATATATAATTATAATTATATTACATATAAAAATGATTTAATTATAATTACATTTTATTACATGTAAATTTCCAGGATATAAGGTCATTAATTTCGCAGTGAATAATTAATAGTTAATTACATTTATTACATAATTTTAAAATTATAATAATTTAAGAGCTTATATTTGGTGATATAAAAATTGAAATATATAACCTTCAAACTGTTAAAGAATTCATATAAATTATATATATATAAAAACAAAGATTGATAAAATATTTTAACATATAAATTGATGAGTTGTTTTTTTAGAATTTCATTATGCAAATTAAAATCACATGATTGCAATAGCTATTTTTATTTATGATATGTTATAGACGAGAGATCAGCAAATCAGTAGTTTCTTCTATTTTTTGTTCTTCTAGCAATATTTTATTACACATTTCTGTATGCATTTTGATTAAAAAATATAAGTAATTGGTATACGTTAATAGAGATTAATGTGAAAATTAAGTTATATATAGTAAGAAATGGTGTTTAAAAATAATTCAAATTTAATATCGAATTTTCTTAATGCAACGGAATATTTCAAAATTAGAAATACACATGCCTATATCTGTAAATAGATATATATTTATAATAACTTATATTATTATAATAAGGATACTCATCTAAACTAATAAATACCTTATAACTTTTATAAACGGATTCATTTATCCACATTATAAGTTAACTGCCAAATCTTGTATTAGAACTCGTTTACACAAGCTTATTAAATTTATACGAAAACTATGCCGAAAAAATTTATCGCATAAATTTATTTGCCGTCAATACAATGTTGCATTCCAATAGAAGCAAGTTATTTACAAAAATATCTTCGCATATACTTTTTAGTTTGGACTTTTTTTAGCATTTTATTTTATTATTTATTGATAGCGACACGGTTGATGGATAAAGTTAACATAAATATTTAATATTGCAACCATATTGGCTAAAAGTTTCGGGCTGGTGAGCTTAGCATTTTATTGCTGATATAAATAGTGCTATCATACAGATGATTGATAAATTTACATAAATATTTCACTAAGTGCGTTCATATAATCGTTTACGTTAGCGCATAAAATAATACCTTTGATAAATTTGAATTTATACACTTTCAACACATGGCAACATGCCAGAATGCCAATGCGATGATTTTTTTCAGTGTACAACTGACATTTGGCGTTGTGATAATATTGACAGCTGGGCACCACTGAAGTTTGTATGAAAACGTGCGCTGCTTTATTTAAGGGAAGTCATTTTGCGCATAAATTGATACGACGCAAAATAAATTTAAAATAATGTCTAAGGAGAACAAATTGTTACAATTCCATGAGATGGAATTGGATAACAGGATACTTAAGGTAAAATACTTATAAACTAATTAATGTTAAAAGCTTTGAACATAGTTTTTGTTTGCAGGCGATTTCGCAGCTCGGTTGGACGGAACCAACTCTTATACAAGAAGCAGCAATACCATTATTGTTAGAAGGAAAAGATGTTGTTGTAAGAGCGCGAACGGGTTCAGGCAAAACTGCAGCATTTGCCTTACCTTTAATACAAAAGATACTAAACTCTAAGCTAAACGCCGCGGAACAATGCATAAGTGCTTTGGTCTTAGCACCGAGTAAGGAATTATGTCAGCAGACGCGTTGTGCAATGGAGCAAATGGCAGATAAATGTGGTCAAGTTATACGCATCGTTGATCTTACATCTAGTGATATAGTTGCACAGAAACATATACTTTCCGAAAGGCCAGACGTTGTTGTCACAACACCGGCGAAAGTTATTGCACACATACAAAGTGGCGCAATGGATTTAAAACATGTTGAGACCGTTGTAGTGGATGAAGCCGATTTGGTCTTTTCTTTTGGTTTCGAAAAGGATTTTAAAAAGTTAGCCACCCACCTGCCGCCAATATATCAAGTAATAATAATATGGACAAATTTTAAGTTTTTATTTTATTAATAAATACTTTGCAGGCTGTTCTCGTGTCCGCTACTATTTCCGAAGATGTTATGAATATGAAAAATATTATATTACACAATCCTGTGATTTTAAAATTGGAAGAATCCGATTTAGTCCCTGAAAGCCAATTGTCGCATCAACGTATCATTGCCGAAGAGGACGATAAACCAGCAATTTTATATGCCTTGCTGAAACTGCGTCTAGTACGTGGAAAAAATGTCATATTTGTGAATTCGGTTGATCGTTGCTATAAGTAAGTTTGCCAAAATGTTATGTTTATGTAAATTTTATAATACAATATATAATAAATAATTTCTTATAATGATGTAAATGTGTAGAAGTAAAGAGTGCGCAGTGCTGTAATGGCAATTGGCGCACATATGGTTACATGTCTAATCTTCTCTCTGAATTTATATACAGTATTATTCAATTATTTTAACATTTTTTTATTGTAATTATTTTAATTTGTTTTCATTTAATTACAGACTAAAATTATTTTTGGAACAATTCAGCGTTAAATCATGCATTTTAAACTCTGAATTGCCTACAAAAATTCGTACACACACTATTAATCAATTTAATCAAGGCATTTACGACTTCATCATAGCCTCCGATGAGCGTGTTTTAGAAAATCCAGGCCGAAAAGGTGATCGAGAGTCTGGTGTATCGCGTGGCATTGATTTTCAGTGTGTTGCCAATGTTATAAATTATGATTTCCCTATCGATGTCAATGCTTATATACATCGTGCTGGTCGTACAGCGCGTGGTACAAACAAAGGTTGCGTTTTATCGTTGGTGGGTATTAAGGATCAAGCTGTGAATGAAGCTGTCGAAGAAAAATTGCGTAGCGGTTATATGAGCGACGAACAAGTCATAAAGTAACTAACCATTATTTATAACAGTTGGCAAAATACTAAATTTAAATTTCATTTTTTATAGGAATTATCAGTTTAAAATGGAAGAAGTAGAACCATTTCGTTACCGTGCACAAGATGCATGGCGTGCCATCACACGTATAGCAGTGCATGAAGCGCGATTACGTGAAATAAAAACTGAAATATTCAACAGCGAGAAGTTGAAAGGATTCTTCAGTGAAAACACTAGAGACTTACAAGTCTTACGTCACGATAAGCCGCTTAAAACAGTCAAGGTTCAGCCACATTTGTCACATGTGCCTGAATATATAGTGCCGAAAGCTTTAAAACGTTTAGCTACAACAAGCACAGTACGAGCTGCAAAAACTCCGCGCACCTATCATTCCAAAACGAAGGCAGCATATGAGAGTAAAGTAGATAATCCCCTGCTCTGTAGTGAGATAGATTATGGCAAGAAACGGGGTTCTATGCGGCGTAAAAAGTAAATTTTATTTTAGTTAATAGCAAATAAATATAAGTTAAGTTTTAAATATTCTATAAAAATGTTTTTAAATTTATTTACTGTTTAACTGTAAGACTACCTGTTGCATTACGGTTCTTTTTTCTAAGATTCAATATGGAAAGTATGATTTTTTCTTTTTGTCTTAGCAAGAATGTATATTATTCAAGCTGCGGTAGCAAAGCAAATTCTGATCTACTCGTTTTAGAAAAGTCTAGATTATATATAATAAAAATATTTATATAAATATTGTTATGGGTCATATTTTTTATCACTTGAACGTTTCATGTATAAATACACGGCTTGAGATCTTTTCCAACAAAATAAGTTCGGCTTATATGGAACTGTTTGGCATCACCATCTTAATATATGAGAAGATTTATGTATATAAGATTTAATAGTTTACCACTTTAGTCTAGTATTTGTTTAGATAGTAAGAACGCGGAACTATTTCTTGAATTAATTGCTGCGTGCAGATACAAGTAGATCATTATAATCTACTTTAATTATATGGTTTATTCCTATCGCTAAATCAAATGTCTGTTATCCTTATCAATATTTATTATCATATATCTTTTTTCTTTTTTTTTTTCTTTCTGTCCAACAGAACCTTTCAGGTTCGAGTCGGTTCCTCTCTGTCCTGTGATTTTCCCATCAACGCCGGTGTCCCTCAAGGCTCGGTTCTAGGACCTCTCCTTTTTAACCTGTTTATAGTTGACATTCCTCTCCCGCGGGCCCCTGTTAAGCAAATCTGCTTTGCCGATGACTGCCTTGTCATCTGCCGGTCATCTAATCCTCACCGCCTTTCCAATGAGCTTAATGCCCACCTTGGATCCCTCTTCGACTATTACACCAGCTGGAAGATTAAACTCAACCCCTCTAAGATCTCTGCCATTACCTTTCTTGGCCAGCAGCGTGATCGTCCTAGAGGTTTTAGCACCTCTAATATTAAGCTTAAGCTTAACAACTCTTCAATTCAGGTTGTCCCCAAGCTGAAATATCTTGGTATTGTCTTCTCATCTCAAGACAATTTTATATCACATGTTGACTCTGCCATCCGTAACGTCCGGTTCAGGCACACGCAACTCAAAACTGCACTTCGAAGACTTAACTGCAAAGTTAAGTTACTCTGCTATAAGCAGCTTATTCGTCCTCTCCTCACTTATGCCTTCCCTATTTTGTCTGCCATCACTTCTGCTCAGATGGAAAGAATCCGCCTGTTTGAGCGGAAACTTCTCCGTGATTGCACCAACTATAAGCGCAAGCCTAATGGCAAGCACTTCTCTATCTCCACTCTGTATAACAATGCCAAGATCACTCGTATTGATGAGTACCTTTTGACCCTCGCTCGTAGGTATCTCACCCGGCTCCACGACCTCCCTCCTGATGTCTCTTGTCCAGATACCCTCCCAGTAGACCTTGTTCTAGCTTTACGTTTTAAACCTTCACAGTACCTTCCCCACTATTTTGATGAGCAGAATCAAAATCCTCTCGCTATTCCTCTTTTTAACCGCAGCTTTCGTGACCCTGGTCACAAAGTATATCACTAGTCTCACCCCCGCTAATTAGCCGTAAACCCACCACCTTCATTATTATGACTACAAGAACAACAACAATAATATACGTTATATTTTAAGTCTAGTTTTATGAGGTTCACTTGTCACACAAAGTAAACAATAGCAGCGCTTACCTGAGACCTACAATTCATAAGAACTGTTCATCGAGCTAGTACAAGATCCCAATAAGTAATACATTTCCGCTATTCTCAATTAAGTGTAACATTTGTCAGAAAAAATAAAAGAAATTGTTTAAAATGCTATGGAGCACACCATTGCCATATTATAGCATTTTCCTGTTAACTTTTAGCTCAACTGATTTGTGGTAATAAACTGAATATTGGATGAACTTTGAATTGGTTACATTAAAGGTCAATAAATGCGCTTATTTACTAAGAGACTTAAATATAGTAGTTTTTACAAATAAAAATACTTTTTTCCAAATACTTTATAGCAGATATATTCAACAATATTTATTGGATTTTTAAGACCAAAACAATACATTAAGACCGAAAAGTTTTCGGAAATTCTCATTTAAAATTCGCGCGCTGTATATTTTTCGATATTTTAAGTTTATGTAGTTTGGCAGCACTGTCCTTAATTACTATGCCAAAAATGAGCGCGATCTGTCAGACAGTTCGTTTACGGCAGCTGTTGAAACCAGTTCACCTCAGTAGGGCGTTGCGAAAAAAACAATGGAAAAAAATATTGAACAAAGAGTTTGCATCAAATTTTGTGTTTCGAACGAAATTTCGTGTGCAGAATCGTTGCGAATGCTACAAAAGGCTTATGGGGAATCAGTTTTATCGAAAACTCAAGTTTATGAGTGGTACAAAGCCTTCCAGGACGGTCGTACGACCGTCGAAGACATTTCGCAACGCACTACTGAGGTGAACTGGTTTCAACAGCTGCCGTAAACGAACTGTCTGACAGATCGAGCTCATTTTTGGCATAGTAATTAAGGACAGTGCTGCCAAACTACATAAACTTAAAATATCGAAAAATATACAGCGCGCGAATTTTAAATGAGAATTTCCGAAAACTTTTCAGTCTTAATGTATAAATCTATATCAATAAGAATATATTATGGAATATATTTAGTTAGGCTAAAAATAATTATTTCTAAAATCTTAATATATTCAAAATAAATGCTGAGACACCATGTCTCTAAAAAGTCCATGAATGTACTAGTTGAGTAGGTTAATAGCGGCGATACTTTGATTTTAATTCATATATGTAATCATACATATAATATAATCTATTCTGTCTATTTATATAGAAAATGCTGAGATTCCATGTCATTAAAAAGTCTATGAATGTACTAGTTGAGTAGGTTAACAGCGGCAATACTTTGATTTTAATTCACCTATATAATTATTCATATAATATAATCTATTCTATCTATTATAAAGAAAATGCTGAGACTCCATGTCTCTAAAAAGTCTATGAATGTACTAGTTGAGTAGGTTAACAGCGGCGATACTTTGATTTTAATTCATATATGTAATCATACATATAATATAATCTATTCTGTTTATTTATATAGAAAATGCTGAGACACCATGTCTCTAAAAAGTCTATGAATAAAGGAATATAGCAAATACTGAGACTCCACGTCTCTAAAAAGTCTATGAATAAAGGAATATAGCAAATACTGAGACTCCATGTCTCTAAAAAGTCTATGAATGTACTAGTTGAGTAGGTTAACAGCGGCGATACTTTGATTTTAATTCACATATGTAATTATACATAAAATATAATCTATTCTGTCTATATATATAGAAAATGCTGAGACTCCATGTCTCTAAAAAGTCTATGAATGTACAAGTTGAGAAGGTTAATAGCGGCGATATTTTGATTTTAATTCACATATAAAATCATACATATAATAATCTATTCTATATATTTATATAGAAGATACTGAGACTCCATGTCCCTAAAAAGTCTATGAATGTACTAGTTGACTAGGTTAACAGCGGCGATACTTTGATTTTAATTAACATATATAATGATACATGTTATATAATCTATTCTTTCTATTTATATATATCACGTATATATTGTATATATATTATAGACACATGTTATATCACACATACAATACATATAATCCTTTTTTTGATAAATCAGCACGTCAGTTAGAGTTAAAAGTAAAGAATCAACCAAACGTAATTTGGAATAATAATATTAAACCTTTTTAGGTTGCTTATTTTAAACTATATAATAAATTGGACTATAAATTTATTGTGTAAGATGAAGTTCATCTATATAAAATATAGAGAGAACTTCAGCCTTTCTTATTCACTGCTAAACTGCAATGATACTGAAATCTTTGCCTTTGTAATTAATCAAGAGATACTTAATTACTTTGACTATATATGTATTATCTCTTGTACCAATATTTGATTACTGATAGAATTAAATAAAATTAAATCCTAAATGAAACGCACTCATTCCTAAAATTAGTTTCATAATGTTTGAAAATTTACCTGATTAATGATTATTTTTCAATCTGAACTTACATTCGTTTATGAGGCTTAACAGTTCACTCAAAAATATTACACTTTTTCACAAAATTTGTATAAATTTCAATTTATTTTTCATTATCTTCTATCACTTTACAAAGCAAAACAATGTTTGTACGTTGATTCAAAATTATATATGAATGAATATTCATATTGCGAAATAATATTATAAACAATATATAGAGTACTGTTCTACTTTGTATAAACGAGTTAGTTATATAAATAATTCAGTTTGATCCACTATATATACATCCATATCTTAACTTACTTAAAAAAAAAAAATAAAAAAAATATAGAGAAATAAATTAAATTATATATGTTTAATTACTAAATGTACAATTATTCGTTTTGAAAAATCAACCGAGCAATTTAGTAAAATCTTACTTAAATTCAATTTTTAACAGAAGTAAAAGGACCAAGCAATTAAAAATTTGTCAAAATACAAATCGCATAAAATAAACCTAAATAAGCTATATTTAAACGTAGTACATTGTAGCACAAGTTCTATAAATACTTCTTAAAAGGTATTACACAGTCAGTCGGTATACTTTGGCTTAGCCTTGCACGTATAGCTTTCCGAGTTTGAATATTGTATTTAACAAATTCTAAAAAATTATTAAAAAATGACAAAATAAAATATACTAAGATGCATGCCAACAATTTTTACATTATGAAGAGTTTGTTTGTTAGGCGACTACTCCATCAATTCGCGTAACCTTACAGCTTGCATTGATACCCGTGTCGTGTTTAAATATAGATTAATGGCATAATACTGCATAAAATAACTTCATATAAAAACTATTCTTAATTCTCATTTTGCTTCGACGGAAACCAATTTTCACTTTAACGTAGTTTCCTTCGTTTTGGTACGTTCCGTCCATCTGTGGAATTGGCTAGCGGCAACTGTATCTGTTGTACTGATAAGTGTGGCTGCTGTTCTAATAGTTTTTCTGGTGTTATTTGTGCTTCTTGTTGTGATTCTTCTTCGTCTGAGATCAGTGATATGCTTAAGTCGCTGGAGAGTTTTAATGACACAGGTGCTGGTTGTAAAGTTGCTGGTGGTACATTTGCTATATTTTTACGACGTATATTTGGAGTGGTTTGCTGTCCATTTGTAAATTCGGGTAAACCACATGAAGCCAAACCTTCGCGCAATTTGGTGAGTGACAATTCATAGATTCTATTTGCAATAACTGTATGCACTGTTGTTTCATCTGGCAGCATGGGAAATATTTCATTTACTGCTGCTTTTGTGCAGTGTCCAGCAGTTGATGAGCGCGGCACAATTGACACTGTTACTTCTTCATCCACCTGCGCTACTTGCGGTGCTTGTCGTAATTGTGCTGCTTGTGGGTTTAGCGTAGCTTGCTGCGGCACAACGGCCGTTATTGAAACATCTGGCTCTGGTGTTGGTTTCAAGCAATTTGGCATGTTTTCAATATTTGAACTGGAATGTATGAGCCGCTCATGTTTGACTACAGTTGGAATTTCCACATCACTGTCGTCTGTAAGTACAATACTTTCATTAACAATTGTGGGCTGCGACAGACGTTTCGGTTTTTGTGCTTTGCGCTTTCGTTTAAGCGTTAATACTTGCTGCTGTTTCTGTAAGTTTTGTACAGGAATGAGCGTTATGTTGGGTGTATTACACAATTGTATGCTGCCACTTGGATGTTGTAATAAATTTTGTACATGTTTTAGCGGTTGTTCAACCGGAGTGTTCTCTTCATCTGATAACAGATCTATTGTCACATCTGGCTTCAGATTATTGAATGTTGTTTTTCGTCGTTCAGTCTTTTCAGTTTCTGAAGCGAGTTTTGCAAGATATTCTTTCCGCTTCAAAAGTCTACGTTTAAGTCGCTTATTTTGAAATAGTTGCGGTGATATATAGAATGGGGCGGAATGTTTGGGGTTTACACTATTTTGTTGAGCATTGGTGCCACTCATTTCTGTAAATTACAAATAAAAATAAAAATATTACCGGCTTTTACTTTGTGGTTCACATTTCTACTTACTGTTTACTAATGTATATTACTGTATTAGGCTTATAATTAGTTGTTCTCCGGGCTTAGACTAATATCTGTTAGCGGTTGTTTCTCTGGAAAAGGCTTGTACAGTTTTTGCAATTAAATGCACTTGGCTGCATATTAACCGTGCCTGCTTTTTAAATGGAAGGCCACTGTTTGCCTACTTATTATTACAAATAACATTATAAAATTTTATTTCTCAGCAAAATATATTATTAATTTATATAGATAAATTTAACACAAAAATCTAAAATTGCATTACAAACTAAAACTCCGTATTTATTTTGGTTTTGATGCTGCAAATTCTGGAACTGTCAAACGAAACAAAGGCAAATGATGAAAATGCATGGTTGCATTTTGAATATTAATTTCACTTCTATTAATAACTTATTAAATATTATTTGATCAATAATTAGCAGAAAATTTAGGTATGTAAATATTTATTTATTGGTTTTATTTAATATTTCTGGTTAAACTTTTAAATTTATTTATTAAACATCTTGTAAAATTTTCACATTGGTAACACCTAATTTACCTAATTTTTATCAAATTTACCCTTTTTGATATTCTAGTAAATACCAACATTTGTTGCCATAATCTGCATTTTTAAATTACACCGTTTACATTATTCATTGGAGATTAATTTTGACTTTGTATAAAAAAATTATAATATAAATATAAAATTTTGTTTCACAGCAAAAATTTAACAAATTTTATTTATAATTATATATAAAAGTTTTCAACAAATTTAATGAAAATTGTTGTTTTGAATAGATTTTGGCATTTCTTTTCCAATTCTTCTAAGATCGTAAAAAAAATTACGATATTAAGTCATGTGCAGAGTTGCACAGAAGAGTAAGCACCATTTCTAAGGAGATTAAAAATTAATCTTGGCGCTTAAAACAAGTTGCTAAATTGTGTTTTGCCACATAAATATAAGCATACTAAAATGATTTTATATGAAATTGGATACAAGTAATGCCGTTTCTTTTATACTCGACAGAGTTTTCATTTTTGACAGCATACTTTTAGAAAGTAAATAGATGAATATATGGAAATTTAATTTTAAATTATTTTATTGGGCTGTTCAAATTACGACCAACGACATGTTTTTAATCTACCACAATTACGCAAATTTACTTTTGGTGTACTAGTAAAACCACATTATTTTATTTTCATGGTATATTTTATTTTTGTCGAAAACAACTATGAACATGCGGCCCTCCAATGTGTACAGTGATTCGTATTGTCCCGCTATCGCATCTGGTCTGGGCAGCCCTGGTGTGAACGATTAAATTTTTTTAAATAACTTTAGCAGAATTCGATAGATAAGAGTATGTTACCACTGCTTACTTTCTAACTTACTAAGTAAATTTCATTAGCCATACAATGAGCTTCCGTTCTTTTTCATTTACATTGTTATCGTAATTTGACATATTTGACACAAGAAATAAAAAGTAAACATAAACCAACAAGAGGTAAGAGTTTTTTAAAATATTTCTTTTTTATAAATAAAATATACAATTATTATATAAGAATAAGTTTATATATCAAATATATATTTGATATCATTATATAATGTCATATATTGTTTAATAAAATATATTCATTTCAGTAGGGTATCAAGACAGAAAATGGATATGAGCTCACAAGTTTGTATGGTGGATTTATAATGTTTGTAATTCATTCAAATAAAATGTTATTAATATTAGGAAAAAACAAAAGAATTCGGAATATATGGACTGAGGGTGGTGAACAGTTATTTATATTGGCCACATAATGGCAGAAACACATTGAAAAAAAGAGAAACACGGTTGATGAAAAAATGCTCAAGACAGTTGATAGAATAATCAATTTTAAAGATGGAAAGAGGATATCCGCACGAAAGGACCGTAGCGGACGTAATGACGAGTGACTAGTCAATATTTTTTTTTTTATTTTTAAATTTTTCAATTCTTTGTTTATCATTAGTATAGTTATAGTGCATTTTATTTTAAATTCTTTTTATATCTTTATTTATTATTAATGCAGTTATAGTTCATTTTATTTTTAATTTATAAGTTATTAGTGTTAAACTTACTGAAATTAAATAAGTTTTATGTTCATTGTACGTTATTTTTATTATGCACCCACTGCTAAATTCATGTTATGAACAATATAACAAACATTATGCATTAAATTATTTAAACTTTTTGCATTTTTCATGCTGAATTATTTTCTTCTGACAATACAAAATTTAATGCCAGCTGTTTACATTATATGTTTTTGACATATAAAAGTTCTTTCCAATCCTTAAGTAACTTGTGCTAATGTAAACGACATTAGCAAAAACAAAACTAAATACGCTTAACATTTAGAAATCTGAATTTATTTAGATCGAGGTGAGAGAGAGAGAGAGAAAGACAGAGGTTATTAAATATAACCTTTATGACAGTTAATCACGAAAACAGCGAATACAAAGGGATATGATGGAAGGAAGAGCTAGTATCTCATTGAAGTATATAAAAAGTATTTAAAGAAGAGAATCTTGTGCCCAATAGTTAAAATCAAGTCAAGAGGAATAGTGCTAGTGGGATGAAAGTCAGTAGGAAAATCATCTAGCCATGAGACATATCACTGGCCAGACTGTTATGTTGGAAATAAATAAGTTAAATAGAAGTGGACCTGAAATGGAGCTTTTGAGTTTATTAACAACTATAGACTGTAGCGGATAAATAACTTGTAATCCAAATAGCAGAGACTGTCGTGTGTAGGAGTAAGAATACTATTCAATTCTTTATAGCAAAGTAAAAAATCTTACACTGCATTTATTATACACTGACTGCCATGTATTTTTTTATTGATGTTTATAGAAGGATATTAGTTATTGGGTGTCAGATCTAATGAGTGCAATAAGTTGAAGAATAGTATAAAGTGGAACTCGTATAATTTGGTGGTCGCTATTATTCACTTTTAACATTCTATATAGTCATATAGTACTAACATCTGCTCCATTTAAGAGTGTCTTTTTTACAATTTTGTTCTTTAATATTAAAAAATATTAGGTACTGATAGTTTATGCCTTCTGCATCCAAAAATTTAGATAAGACACATTTTTGGATCGATACGTCTATAGTTATTCTCTCACTTTTATTACCGACTGCTTTTCCTTCGGTAGACTCTTGCTTAAATTTCGGAGTGTGGTGATGGAGTAACGTTTTCATTATTGGATTATTTTCCACAATTGTTCAGTTATTCACTAAAATGTATTATACGTTTAAATATTTTGTGTTTTAATATTTAATCATCTGGCTATATTATTCTCATCAACGGGACTAAGATCACATACTTGGATTTATAGAGATTTATTAAATAAACTCATTGCTTAACACATTTTTTAAAATATTGAAAATGACTTTTTCGCTGTAAATTGTTTCAGGGTTATTGAACCTAAAGATTTCTTCAAGAATTTGTTACTTCAGATTTATTGTTTTTAAATTTTTAAACATTGCAAGTTTCGTATCAAAATTCTTTTCTGTATCACAAATATTGAAGATCAGTAATATTTTTATTCCACGATTTAATGCTATGCCTTCTATTCGATTGAAGCATTGTTTTAGTTAGGTTATACTGGCGATCTCTGGTGGATCTACTTAGACCTATTGACCCATTGTGTTACCGTATATGTAGAAAAAAACTCAGGGTTTAAAACTACATAGAATATTTGGAGAAGCCTGAAACGCTATTTAGTGTCAGGTCTTGTAATTGATCAAGATCCGCAAGGAAGGGGGCTCCTAAAGTGTTGAGTCGCCGCCGTGCATGAGCTAGGCAAAAACATAGTAGTTGAGAAGCAGTCTCATCGTCTTCCCCACAGCTGCGACAGGTTTGATTGAAAGGAAGACTTAATCTTCTAGCATGGGTATTTAGTTTACAGTGACCTGTAAGTAAACGTACCAAAATATGGATATCTCTACGGGATATCTCAATGAGAATTTTGGGTTCCCTTTCATCGGAACCTGGCCAGATTGCATACAGATGCCTACATATCGTTGAGTCTTCCTATTTTTTTTCAATAAAAATTTCATAAGCGGAAATAAGAACATAATTTGTTTGCAATGTCGGGAAAGCACCAATAAAATCATTCATTCTGGGACAGATATATAGAAGAGATTGCGTAGAGTTAGCAGATCTAACTTTTTAAATCTTCAATGTGGGTTCATTTAAATTACACTGGTCCGAGCGTTGATGTGTAGTTATATCAAAAATAATGAAGGATTAGCAAATTGCACAGTCTGAGTATTGTGAATCTTTTCATTAATATTTAACTGAAGTTTCAGTAGGTGAAAATAGATTCGAAAAAAAGACTATTGATGCCATTAGATATACCATCAATCAATCAAACCATGTAAATTGATAACTATTTACCAAGTCTTTATTTCTCATTTTTATTTGAAATTTCTATTTTCTGTAATTAGAACCTCAATGTGACCTTTCTTAGCATTTGTAAAGGGTTCAATAAGTTTCTGAGTCAATACTTGACTGAATCCTCGTCGCAATTATTATAATTATTATTGATATTACAGTAACTAATCATCTATTTATGTTTAATATTTAAGAGTTTACATTTATGTATAGAAAAAATTTGTCAATCTATTTTTCGTCAGAGAAAAATAACACACATAATTCAAAAGTAGTTTTTATAACATATATTTAAAAAATTAAAAATCTGAATCATTAGAGAAGAATCATTAGAGAATGTTCAATACATATAAACTATACTGCATATGAAACCAAGCACCTGAAAGAAATAATAGAGATTGAAATATTTCAAGGCATTTAAATAAATTCAGAGTTCACCAAAGGTTTCCTAGATTATTCCCGTTCTTTAGTTTTCGCTGTAAATCCCTGGCTTTGGCGTTCTTTGATAGTTTATTAAACTGTTCATCAGTGAACATAAGATATATATTTAATTATTTAAATTCGACGGGATGAATCTAGTCTCTACTCTTTTATACTTGGGGTTCTTGCAAGAAATGTGATAGCAAAACGGCGAAAAATCGCTAATTGAAGTACATGGAAGTTATCCAATGGCTTCCCACTTCAACCAACCAACCAACCAACCCGTTCTTTAGAGTTTATAACATTCCATTCATTTATGTTAAGTTATTAAGTTCATCAACTATTGTTAATACATAGTAATTAAAAGTCGTAGTTAACTACACTTAACTAATCCATATTGAATTATGTTATATTTGATGAAAACTATTAAAAATTAGGTCAATAAATGAGTTACCAACTAATATTTGTATTCAAATGGGAGTTCTCTTCAAGTAATATTTTCGTACATGATGTTAATGCTTTCAATTTACATTGAAGTCCCCATGCTTTTAACAGAACTCCACGTCTTAATTTATTTTAAGCTATTTAGCCTTAGTACCAGAGCAAGTTGGCGCCCAGCACACGGTTCGTTGAACGACACTGTGACCTCTCGTGAGAAAAAACGAAAGGAACCAAAGGAAAATAATTTTTATTTACCACTTTGACGTACATAATAATATTTTATCGGTACAACGGCACCTCACGACGCACATACGGGAACATCGCGTTTAATTTATTCCAATCCCGTTGTAGTAACTCAAAGATATCTAATACATAATGTAAGACAAAGGACGAGTGCGAATAATGCCGAAG